ATGGGTAGCAAATCCTGCAACACTCTCAGATAAACAAAACCTGAAAGAATTTACCAACACCAGACCACTTCTCTTTGAGAAGTTCTGAAGGGACTCCTATACCATGAAAACTAAAGACTAACAGACAGAAATAAGAGAACAAAAAAAGAACAAGAAGAGGGCCAAATGAATGTTAGGGACAAGTTCGGAAACATCAGTAACGGTGTTGAATGTTAACTCCAGGATTTACACGGAAAGACCAGACCACAGTAACACTGAAAATTCAACAACAGAGAGATGACATGAGACCAAACTAGTGAAACAGAATTCTATGACTTTTGTCTAAAACATTACTGATTATCTTCTATGCTTTGTCTGCCAGATTTAAAGATATTGGTTTACTTTTGAGTTGTTTATAGGTTCAGCAACTTGTTATACAATTTTTTTTGATTTAAACATAAACTTTTCCTTTTTCCTGACCCCTTTGCAATTGGAAAATATTAGTGAGCATTCTTATTTTGTGGCAAAATGGTTATTGGCATAACATAAGTTCAATAATACAATAGTATCTGTTGCCTTGCAGCAGAAATTGAATACTTATGAGGATTTTTGCAAATAATAGATCAAATTGGATTAATCTAATTTTTGACAAGTAAATTTAGTTTATATTTCACTTTAGTAAAAAGGAATGGTGAGAGAAAAGGATGTTTCAGAAGAAAATCACAGTGCACATGTCACTCGATTCTAGATTTGTCCATATTTTTAGTTAATATCTCTTGTGAATCAGTGAAATGTGAAAAAAAGTCTAGTGTTAAAGGGAGGGAGGGGGAAGGAAAAAACAAGTAAAACTATGCTTAATTGACAAAAAAAAAAAAGAGAAGCTATTTGAGGATGCTTATGTATATAGTAATATTTTTGTCTTGACCGACAAAATGCATGGTATTTTTGCTGCAAAAAGAAATGTTGTACACTGTAAAGACATGTGATTAAATGCAAATAAATAGAAAAAGAGAAAATAAAAACACACCAGGTATACATGTGTGCACCTTGCCATGTGACCTAAGTTAGAAATAAGATGATATTTTGGAGTAACTCGTATTATTCCTAAAGGATTTATAAAGACAATTGTAGACCTGGCATGTAGCTAGTAATTTGACAGTTGTACATTTCAGTGTTGCTAAGGGAGTAAATGACTGATGTTTTCATCACAAAAACATAAAATATTTGAGGTGATGGATATAAGAATACTTTAATTTCATCATTTCAAATTTTATCAAAAAATTATAACACTGGGTCAGCAGGCGGTGTGGTGATTAAAGTGCTGGATCTCACAGTTTGGGTCCTAAACCCAGAGGTTTGAAAATCACCAGGCATGTTTGTGTGCATGCCTAAAATCTCAAGAGGAGAATGGAGGAGAGTAGATGGTGTGGTCATCTGCTAAGCGGGTGATTTCTCACTCCTGCCCTTTCCCCTAATCTCTCTCCAGCAACCACAAGTACCCTATAGCATATATCTAAATAAATAAAAGAATAAATTCTATGACACTATTTGTACCCCCAAAATATATAACAAGACGCAATATTAAGAAAAATGAGAGTGTAGACTTCTTATTTGCATCACTATAGAAAAAACATCCTGGTGTTTTGTCCATACACTGATGTACCTCCCTGAAGACCAACTCTTCCAGGCAACAGCTACATCATCCAACTACAGGTGACCACAACCTGCTCACGTTGAACTGCAAACTCTTCTCGGTGGTTTAAACATGATTCCTTTCCTCAAAGGTAGAACGCCATTTCCAGATCTTTTAATTCCCTGGGAACGTTATTCACACCTTCTCCATGTGCCAAGGAAGGAGAATCTCTAATGGCAGTCTGACTCTAACCCTTCCTGCCTCTTTGCTCAGCAGAGTTTAGTTTTATTTTGACTTTAAGGTTTTTTCCTTAGGGCACATGCACTAGCTGGAGAGAGAGAGGGAGGAAGAAAATGAGAAATCACCCCCCAGGAGGGGATGGCCATGCACAATTCTTATCCTCCATTCTCTTCCTGGGATCTTGGACAGGCATGCACACATGTCCATCATGATTTTCAAGCCACCAGGGCCAGGAAGCAAACTGCAGTCGACCATGCAGAAGTCCACTGCCTTAACCACCACACAACCTGCTGCTCCAGAGTTTTAAAAATTACATGACTTAAATATTTTCCCTGATGATGTCTTCTCTGCTCAGGTGGTTCTGGAAGAATTACCAATATGTATTGGCTTTTCTCTTTGCCATTGAGGAGATTAACAAGAGCCCCAATCTGCTCCCCAACCTTTCTCTGGGCTCTGATCTCTACAACGCCTTTCCCACTCAACAAAGAACCTTGGAGAGTGCTGTGGTTTTATTCTCAGGAGGGAATCAGCCTCTCCCCAACTACAACTGCAACAGCAAGAA